CAGCAGTACCACAACATTTGTGGGTTGGCGCATAAGAGACTAAACATAGGAAGTCATAAACTTGGTATTAGGGATATAAACAGGATATACGAAGAGGAGACTATAGCTACTGGCTGACTGTAGGTCTTACCAGAGACGTGTTACATGTAGCAAAGGCTTGACGATTAGACGTATTCAGACGCTTTAGCCTCTAATTAGTCACCTAGACGCAGGGGAGGGCGAATACTGCCTCGAGTAGCACAGATGGGGTGGCAGGGGTCGAGTGAAATACGTAAACCAGGGAGAGAGAGACGGATCTTACGGGGCAAGAGAGAGACTGTGATAAGACCTATTAAAAGAGGACTGCGTAACAATATGGCAAACTCTGATCAACATTTTCAGCACGAGGGTGAAGGGGATGAGGACGCCAGCGTTGAGTGTGAAGGGCTTTCAAAGAAGCACATCACACTACATCTAATTAAGCACGGTAAAAATTGTAACAGTAAATGCGTGGTATGAGAATATAGGAAATGTTAATAGCTTAGGGCAGAAGGGAAGATACTACAACTTTTTAGCACATGTTTAGTCAAATTATCGGCTTCACTTGTCTTTGTGACGAGTTGCTGTGTAGTACTAAGAATAGAGAGACTCACTGAGGATGCCAAAAACGATGCCGGTGAAATGCCTGGGAATGTAGTACATCCACGGTCCTACTCTGGAAATGATCATGTATACAATGGACTCCGGACTTAGCGAGTTCCTCTAATTCTTCCTACCGATATGACCAAATTGCGAAAACAAGGTCAAACAACCTCATTAATAATGGCTCTTTAATAAAATTAAGAGAGAGTGAAGTACATATCACTTGATAATTTGAACTGTGATTAAATATATTTCCTTGAAAGATGTTAAGACTGAAGTGTGCGCTGATTTTGCCAGATATCATGCTTTGTGTATTCACAATAATATTTACACCATTCTAGGCCTGAACTGTTTAGCTATTTGAATAGAATCGCTTCAATCTCTCACACCCATTTAATTTCACATGGTGTGAATTATTAGTGCAAAGTAATAACTTAAAGAGCAACACTGGGCTGAAAGTATTTCATCTTATATTTAAAACATTTTTTTAGCTAAAAGCTGATGATTTTAGTGAAACTTGAATATAATATCCATTCGACTCTGAATTTGATATTTCCCTAGGGCCACAAATTGAAGTAATTTAGTAGGAGCAGTTTGATTATGCAAACAATATCTCTAAGTATTCTTTATGGTTTCCAAATCATATAGGCAATTTTATTCCTGTCAACTATTTATTATTTATTAGCTTTGATTTTTCTCTATTGCACATTAAAAAAGTTAGGTGATAGGAAACAACGTTTCTTTATAGCTTTAAAAAAAATTTTGAACAGCTCATCTATTCACACAAATTTTTTCGACACATAAAGCTTGCAGGAAAATCTTTATTCGTGTCGAAGTATAAATATCTTAGTTAGATATTAGTAGATATAAATATCAATCACTTAAAATGGTTAATTAATGAATAAATATTCTGTTAAAAAATACATAGTATTTTAATTGATGTAGACTTACTTGATAATGTCTATATTCGTTATTGAAGTTTTTAACACTCCTATGCCTTTTTTATATTTGCATTTGACGCGCTCTATTCATCTTGGTGTTATTCCTCTACACTTTCCTTTCCCCCACCACCTCTGGGCAACCATACCAGCTAAAAAGTCAGTACTCTTTAAAGAAGTATTTTTGCCTGACTAATCTCCTACCTGAATACAACGTTCAATTATTTAATTTTCATATTCCTTATTTTTATGTTTGTTCTAGTATATTCCTAAATGTCGACTTATTTATCAGCATTCGAAAACCTAATAACAACTCACACGTTGAGGTCAACTGCTTTGTTTCTTCGTGAGATATGCTTTACCCTTCTAGGTGATTTAAAAATAGATAAAGTCTGCTTGGAAAATAGATATTCCAGATAGCAAGTATAAGTCAGGTCGCAGGGACTGTAAGATATTATCCGAATTGCACAATAAACACATATTTCAAAGTGTTCCGTGTTTTAGAAATTGTATCAATTTATAGCGGTTAAAGTTTGTCTCCCAGCTACTGTGCTTGAACGATAAAACATTTCACTAAATTCCTTATATCATCATTAACTCGAACTTTTATTTTACCCTTACGAATCATAGTGATCTTGAACCATTCTTATACATGCAAGTGAACTATATTACTAGGTATTTAGTTTTTGTCCTACATGTTATTATTGCTCGTTGTACATAAACATCCATATTTTGCCACGAGATTTATTTTGCTATCCTGTTCATATTATAGGCAAACTCTTAGACTAAGGCCTTTTTCTTACAAAGGTGTATCGTATGCCATTATGAAAAGAAGAAATAAGGAACTTTCTATGCTATCGTGAATTGCCCGTCCATTGTGTTTGGCTACCATTTATAATCTAAGTTGCTAGCTTAAATTTTGCTATCTAGTAAAATTTATCTTGGTAACACTGTGGAGTGATATGCTTTTCTACTTGTTATTCAGTATTTGACGCATTTACCCCATTTTAACAATCAATATTTTCCAGTTACAACATTATTTCTATTATTTTCTTGCTTTAGTTTCCTTTTTAGAATATGCTAAAAAAATGGAAGCTATAATTGGACATGTGCGTGAAGGAAATATGCATGAAGTTAGGCTTTGGCTTGATAATACCGACAATGATGTAAATCAGGGGGATGAACATAGATTCAGCCTTCTGCATTGGGCGGCGCGTGAGGGTCAGTTAGGAATTATCGAGCTGCTGTGCTCTCGTGGTGCTCGCACTAACTCTACTAACATGGGAGACGAAACGGCTCTCCATTTGGCCGCCTCATATGGACATTTGGATGTAGTACACTTTTTGGTTGTTGCACCGAATTTTTCCACCGTGGACGCCACTAACGAGCATGGAAATACACCCCTTCATTACGCCTGCTTTTGGAATCATTTAGAGATTTCTGAGGTTTTTCATTCCTATAACTTTAATTTCAGTTTTCTATTATTTTTATTTTATATCATTAGTCATTAGTAAAATCTGTTATATTTGACTTATTCTCTCTTAATTGCATTTGCATCTTTATCTTCATACTTACAATTAAACTGACTAATTAAGCCTTATGTTCAGTCAGAGGCCGAGGGTTGAGAGATTTGTCTTCTTATTTAATTAACTGTTCATATTCCATCATTTAATTTTACATTTGTTGACGGACATTTTCCTATATTTAGTTTAGTTCGCTTAATTTTTTTTAATTATAAGTGTAAATTCAACATGACTTTATGCACTTTTATTTTTTTTAGCTATTAATAAAGAATGGAGCTTGCCTAATGCTCGAAAATAAATATGGAGAAACTCCTCTAGAAATTGCCAGACCACGTGCTGCTTCTCTTCTTGGCCCGTTAGCTCAGCATCTTGGTC